GAGCTGAAAAGTAACACATTGTCTTGCATGAATCATAGAATGGCCTGGGTTGAAAAGGACCACAATGATCATCGAGTTCCAACTCCCTGCTATGTGCAGGGTGACCAACCAGCAGACCAGGCTGCCCAGAGCCACATCCAGCCTGGCCTTGAATGCCTTCAAGGATGGGGCATCCACAGCCTCCTTGGGCAACCTGTTCCAGTGCATCACCACCCTCTGTGTGAAAAACTTCCTCCCATTATCTAATTTAAATCTCCCCTGTCTCAGTTTAAGACCATTCCCCCTTGTCTTAACACTATCCAGATTGAAAGCGTAACTATCAAATCTTACCACACATCCCTTCTCTTTCTCACCTCTGAAGAGCACTCATCTATTTTAAAAGCAATCAGCTAGCTGATTTGGGGCAAGTTGTTCAGCATACTTATGCTTTGGTTTTCTTACCTGTGAAACTCAGCAAAGCTCATTTCCCACCATTCTGTACATCGAGTGCTGCAGTTCTTGACAAGAGGCTGCATTCTGCCTCCACAGTACTGCTGCAAATCCAGAGGAATTCAATTGGCTTCTGTAGGCTTATTCGTCCTATGTAATCTTTAAACTACAGTTCTGTGTGCCTGTAGGAAACACAAGAACTGTTTTGTTACTGCTTTGGTTAGGAATGTTCTCTGTTGTAACCTAACTTCCATTTTAATTCCAGAAGAAATAGAATGTTATTTTTTTTTCCTTATGTTTAAGGAAGAGGGTTTTAATGAACCACAGGGCTCAATATTTTGCAAATTACATGTGCATTCAGCTCTTTTTCTTGGTCAGAAGCATGTAGTTGGCATGGAAAAAGCACAAGTAATTGCTTTTGGAAGAGTGTGGTCTACAGCAAGAACAGAACAAACTTTCTGTTCAGTCGCCTTTGTTTTCCAGTACTGAAAGTTTGAAGTAGGTCCATTACGTGTTTCACCAGAGCCAAACCTGGTCCCTGTTAGTTGCTCTGCATGGATTAAGTGGTTAACGATGTTTTGAGAATGTTGGGCTAGATATTTTGTGGGAACACCATCTGTTTCCTTTAACACGTAAACAAGGAAAATTGCTGGTTTGAAATGCAGGATTATTTAAACTCAGATAACCACAGGCATTCTTAAAATAGAGGAGGTAAGACAAAAAGGAATTGTCTTGTGGTCTGAAGTTCAGTGACATTTGTTGGGAAACAAATCCCTACATACCAGGCAGGGCTGCTATCACTTTTTCTCAAGTGAGAGAAAGGGGACCTTTCCTTTTGCAGCCACATCCTTCCTTCTGAAGACTATCTTCAAAACTAAAGTGCCATCAAACATGCAAAACCATGCAATCTAGTTCAGCAATGCCTTGAAAGGCCTGAGCATCCTGTTCAGAAGCAGCAAGTCCATTTAACATATTTATTGGTGAATAGCCCCAAATCAAAAGTTGCTTCTGCAGATACTGGGTTTGATGGCTTTCTCAGTTCATCCACCCTGCTACCTCCCTCTTCCTCCTTCAGAAGAAGCAGTACAGCCCCATCTCCCAGCTTCACATACGAGATACTGGTGTTTCAGGTAACATGAGAGTTAGAGGGACTGTTCCACATTTTCACTTCATCAAGCAGCATGGGCATTCTTTTTAGCACTAGAATAGGTTCCCTAGGGAGATGGTTGAGTCACCATCCCTGAATGTGTTTAAAATCTGTTTGGATGTGGTGCTCAGGGACATGATTTAACAAAGGGTTGTTAGGGTAGTATGGTTAAGTTGTGGTTGGACTCGATGATCTTGAAGGTCTTTTCCCACCTGAGTAATTCGATGATTCTATGATTCTTTTAATTAGTGTAACAAAACATTAGCTCAAGGTATGTTTTGGTGATGAGCAGCTTCTGTTCTGATCTGACTGGGAACAAGCAGTCCAACAGAAGGCAAGTTTAACCTAGTGAGAAGTGTAGGGAGGGAAGAGGAGCGGGGGTACAACAGGAAATGTTCTTGTACTCAGCGCAGAACATATCAGCATTTGTGCGGAATTTTATGGTGAAATCACTCAGAACATGTTGTTACTGGATCATAATCCTCACACAGGAAAATACACCTGAGTCACTAGGAGAACAAAGTTGTCTTTCATAGTATCAACAAACCTTGGCTGTTGCTGGGTGTTGCTGTTTTGTTGTTTTTTTTTTTTTTTTACAACTTTGCTATTTCAAAAGCCTAAAAATGAGCAGACATAATAGCCTCAGGCAATTTTATTTGGAAAATAAATGCCACCTTCAATACAGCGCACTGCTAAGCGCAGCCCCACAGACAGCTCAGGTCTTGTGTTCACAGTCACCCACGTAGGCAGGCTGTGCTCATGAATACCCCGAATAAGGTATGTCATGTTCATAGCTCTCACTGCCATTGTCAACAGCCAGAAACACCCACAGCAGGGGCTTGTTTCACTCAAATAAAGGGGTGGCCCTGTTTCACTACTATGTCAGCTTAGTTAGGCTTCCATTATCAAAGAATCATAGAATCGTTGATTCTATGGGACATTTAAAGGTCATCTAGTCCAACTCCCCTGCAATGAACATGGACACCTACAGCTCCATCAGGTTGCTCAGAGCTCGTCCAGCCTGACCAGGAACGGGGCATCTGCCACCTCTCTGGGCAACCTGTGCCAGTGCCTCACCACCCTTGCTGTAAACAACTTATTCCTTAAATTCAACCTAAATCTTCCCTGTATTAGTTTGAACCTCATCTTGTCAGCACAGACCCTGCTAAAGAGTCTGTCCCCTTCTTTCTTACAGCCCCTTTTTAGATACTGAAAGGCCGCTCTCAGGCTATTTTAGCACAGTAAATGAAAACAGCAGCCTTGTAGCTGTTGAAGCCTTTCATACAGCATCTGGTACATCAGCCTTCTCTGAGAAATGGGATCATCTCCAAGGACTATCAACAAGAATAACAGCAGCTGCGTGGTAATGCTGCTGTGCAAATGTTGAAGAACTTGAGGTGCCATAAAGCTGCTTTAAAAGTTCAGTGGCTTATTATTGAAGTAAGGCCACGGCTGTAATTTTGAAACCCTTGGAAGGATCTTTGGGGTGTACTTTGCTTAAAGCCAAGTCCTTCTCTTCCTAACTTGGGTGGAAAGTGTTTGTCTGGCAGCACCCAACTGAAGGAAAAAGGGATGCAAGCTGTGCTGGTCTGATCTCTGGCCCTCACAGGCCAGAAATAGCATGAGGAAGAGGTGTTGACATAAGCTAAAAGTTTCTCAGGCAAACAACATAATGCCAGGATTAAATGAGAATGGCCAGGGAGGGACAATGTCTGCAGTGATCCATTTTGGTAAAATTCTAGTATCACAAGGGAAAACTTGCTTTAAAGTTTTGTAGATCTCTCCTACAATGCAGTAGGTGAGTCTGGGGGAAAGGAATAAACTCAGTAAATTCAATACATTTTTAGTTTCTTTTTAAGCCCCAACAAAATCCCACACTCACTTCAGCAGGACTCCTCTCAAGGGCGCACCCACTCAGCACTCAGGGTATACTATTGCTTCCAGTTCTGTCTTCCCTGTCCTCTGATGCTAATTCAAGGAAAAGCAGCTGCAGTAAAGTGCTGTGTTTCCTCACCTGCCAGAGCTGTCCTTCCCCCTCACCTAACACAACCTCACAGTCAGTGCGGTGCTGGCACTGCAGGGAACGTTGCCTTGGGCTATTCCCAACTGAATGGAACCCATATTCCATAAACAGGTAATGACAGTCACCCTAGGGGAAAAAAAATCAAGTGACTGTTTCGTGGTACGGTGCCAAAAACTACACAGCAATATTTGCAGAGCAAGTGAAAAGAAGCAAAGCCTGCATTGTTAAGGTAGCAAAGATACTCGCATTGAAATTTTGCCAGGACGCTAAGATCTCTTATATCAAAAACTGCTATGAGATTCTTACTGAGCTCATGGTCAGAAACTGAGTTTCACATCTTGCATACGTTTCTAAAGATAGTTAAGTAGCTCTGGTAAAGAATTCTAAAGAATTGAGCACAAAACCACATCTTGTATGGCCCTGTTGAATTTGTCATTTTATGCCCCCAGGTTATGGTATTTATATTTTTTCTTGTTGGAGTTAAATAGCACTGGCAGAGGTTAAGATGTCAGCATTTCCACTATAAAATCAGCTCTTTCTAGGTTAGGTAACATCTTTTTTTTTTTTTTTATATACCACATTATACTGAAATTCTGCCACGCAGATGCTGTCCAAAACATAAGGCATTTATTTTTGACCACATGTATTTGAAGTCATTATGGTAGCTAATGGTTTATAGAATGACAAAAATGTAAATTCTGAGCTTTTTTTCCAAAGATTGTTCTTGCATTGTATGCTTCAAGAATGGCTTTCCTCTCAGCCACTAATACAGAAAAACCAAATGGAGACAGCATAAATGAATGTCTCACTTTGGTAAGTTAAAGCATAGCCTTTCTATGTAAAGAACTTTCAAAGCCATTGCTCATACTCTGTCATATGGAATGTTCTCCTGTGGGGCAAAGTAATGCAAGACATTCTGCTGGAGTTGGTGGGAAGCACTTCCATGAGCAAAGGGGGAATGCTTCCAGAGCCTCATTTGTTACTTTGAGCCTCTATCAATATGGAAGGGCACCTCAGTAGGATTAGCAAGGTGTACCAAGTGCTGATCTCAGTGAGTGGGTGCTGTGACCATCACATTATGTGTCTGTGCTAAAGGGCAGTCAGTGAGATGAAGGGACAAAGTTCCCTTAGATCTGATGGAGAATCCATGCTTGACAAATAAGAGATAAGCAAGCAGCCATGTCAGAACTGGCCTGAAAGTAAAAAAAAACAGTACAAACGTAGCTTTTTGCATTGTTCAGCTATCAGACACACACGTAGACTGGTGTTACTAACACTGCCACCTAAAACGTGAATGTTAATAGTACTAGAATGTTTACACTGAGGACCCTTTGCAATTACAGAGAAAACATGCCAACATCCTCAAAGGCTTATGTTTCCTCCTCTTCTTTTATCTCACAGGTAGTAACTCCAGTCAGGTCAGGACAAGGTTATGTTTATGAATTCCCTTCCAAATACCAGAAGGATACCTACGATATCCCTCCCATTCGCCCTCTCCAGGGGGTAAGTATCAATAAAACTGAAGCACTGAAAGGGCACAAAAGATGATTATTTTCTACCAGAAGCTTATGAGCAGAGTTCTCTCTTAGAGAAAACAAGTTTCAATTAGATTCAGTAGCTTTTTCACGGAGTGCAGAAAGTGTTTCAGAGTTGTATTTGATGTTGAGTAAGGTCTGGCAGCACACCAAACACAAAAATCCCATTTGTTTTCTGTGTCCTGATCAAACAGAATGTCTAAACAGAATAAACTTAATGCCTGGGAACACTTTTTTCCCCTTACTTTGTTGTTGCATAGTTGACAGTAATTCTCTCAGTAAGGGTAAAATTATCTCCCAGATGAACAACTACCATGCAGGGAATTGTTTTCATCATATGTCTGCTGCACCACGTTACTGAACTTGAAATATATCTTTGTTCTGGGGAACACCTTTGGTACATGGTCCTCAAGTCCATGGACATCCAAAGTAAATGCACGGAGGATCTGTAACTCAACAGCCCCACATCGCTCCGTAGCTCTTTTGACAATGCATCTCCTCTAGAGAACATCACTGATGCCCAATAGTACATAACAGACAGAAACTGAGTGGTTGGAACTTTTGAGAAATGTTGAAGGAGAGACATTCAGGTGTTAGTTAGCCTTAGACCATATGTAGAACCCACTGGAATGCAGGATGTGCCACCAAGTGGAATACTTTAAACAGCTAGCAGCTGTACTCCCTGCTATTAGGAGCACCCACACCTGATGAAGCAGATATGTGGTCCTAGCACGGGCAGCCCTAATCTCAGAATTTAATAGCATCTATTACTACAAGCTTATTCCTCCATCCCTCTGATCTCTATCAGTGTCATCAGTTCTAGTCACATGAACATACTGCTCCCCTTTTTACCTCAAAAGACATCTGTAATAAACTGACCTTGACTTAACCTTTGGGATGGAAATCAGCCATGACTTCATCTCTCCAGCCTGCCATTCACTCAGTTGCAGAGTGTATTTCCTAACTGTCCAATTTATTTTTTCTTCAGATATATGACATCCCCCCCACATCAGCGAAGGGGATTGCACATCCAGTTCCCACTGGAGATGCAAAAGCTTTAGGAGTCTACGATGTACCACCTACCAAAGGAGTAAGTGTCATACAATTTCCACAAGATCCTGTATTTTCTTGTGTGACCAAAGATGTGTTTAAGCAAGAGTTTATGTATGATCCCAAAGGAAAATGAGATTCAGAACTTTAAAGATTTCCTTAAGCTTTTAGGGTGGTTGTTAAAACTGCTATAGTGAAGCATTTTATCAAAACTTCTAATATTATGTAATGTGATTTGGTCATTAGACCTAAATTATCTTTCTGGCAGCATCCTGCCTTCTTGCATTTTGCTGCCTGTGAGAACATGCATCAGGATGGAAATTAAAAAGTGAAGTATTAAAGCTGATGCTCCTTCAAACTTGAGATAAGTGTCTGACTCCATGGAATTCAACGGCAGATCTTCCATCCAAGCATTTTGTTTGCCACATGGAAAATGTAAAATTGTTTTGCTATTCTAGCCAGAGTTTTCATGGTTTGCTTTCTGTGTTTCAGATGTATGCTACACCCCCGTCTGCATGCCGAGATGATGCAGGCCTGAGGGATAATTTGCAGGATTTTTCTTCTCCAGTGGGGCATAGTGCAAGACAAGAAGGAGTGTATGATATTCCTCCTCCTATCACCAAAGCAACTGGGAAAGAACTGATTAAGAAATACTCTTCTGAGGGCCTTGTGTTGACTGATGGAGCGCCACACAAACAGAGTGTTTATGACATCCCTGTAAACCATCAAAACCATTTTCTTGGACAGCAAATTGCACCTCAGAAAGATGTTTATGATACCCCGAGGGGAATTGCTTTCCCAGGACAACAGACAGGACTCAATGAAAGTCTAGCCTCCGAGGGAAGAGAAGGTGTCTATGATGTGCCACCACCAATGCTCCAAGACACTAAAGGCTTACAAGATGTGACTGATGGGATGAATAGGTTGTCTTTCTCTAGCACGGGAAGCACAAGGAGTAACATGTCCACATCTTCAACAACATCAAAGGACTCTTCCTTCTCAGCATCAACTGCACAGGACAAAAGACTAATCCTTGATCCAGACACTGCTATAGAGAGGCTTTATCGTCTTCAGCAGATGGTGGAGACAGCAGTCAATAACCTCATGGCCTTCACTACAGCAGACTGGCGGTCTTACAGCTATATGGAGAAACACATCAACGAAATTCACACTGCCGTGGATAAAGTAGAGCAGTCACTGCTGGAGTACCTTCAGTTTGCAAAAGGATCAGCAGCCAACGCTTCCTTTCTCTCTGAGATCAGCCTCCATAACAAAATGAGGAGGGAGGTGCAAAGGTTGGAGGACTCTCACCAGATCCTTACCCAAACCAGCCATGACCTGAACAGCTACAACTGGTCTTTGAATGTTCTCGCTGTCAACAGACTGCAGAACAAGTGCGATGACCTGGATCGGTTTGTTATGGTGGCAAAGACAGTGCCAGATGATGCCAAGCAACTGACCACCACCATCAGCGTCAATGCAGAGCTCCTGTTCAAACAGGGGTCAGGCAGCTCACGTTTCAGGAGCGTCCCAGAGAATGTGAACACTCCTGAGTATGCATATAACAGTCCTCACATGCAGCATCATGGAGAAAAAACACAGAATCACTTTAGTTCTCTTCCTCCTTTCCTGAGTAAAGGTCAACAACCTCACAATATTGCTAACGAGAGCTCAGAAAAAAGCTGGATGGATGACTACGATTATGTTCACTTACAGGTAGGTAAAACCAACATCTTATTCTGTGCAAGACCAAGACAGACCTGTTTGCAGGAAAGCTGCAAACAGACTGTCATGCTAATCTAACTAAAGAGTAAGTTCACCTAGGTGATTACTTGCTCTCAGATAGGTCTGTTGCATAGACGATAGCAATAGCCTTTTGCCCTTGCCACACTATCCTTTTTTTTTCCTCTGAGCTCTCAGGAGGTGTGCTGCCAGTGAAAAAGCCCTCACAAAGAAGCCTGCTGCTTGGCCTCCAGGCTGTCATTTAGCTCAGGAATGGTTTTTAACACAGTGTCTTTTTACATTATGCAAAACAGGGGAAAGAAGAATTTGAAAGGCAACAGAAGGAACTACTAGAAAAAGAAAATATCATCAAGCAGAGCAAAATGGAGCTAGAACACCATCAGGTATGTTTGCTCAGGTGCAATAATCACATGGAAATGTAATGTTCCTTGCACATAAGGAGCACTGGTCAAATAAAGCAGGAGAGGCCCTTTCCTTAGCAGTGTGTGACTGTTAGCCGTGTGGCTGTGAGGTGTGTATGAGTGCCAGAACAAACAGTTGGGAAGGCCCAGGTGCCATATTGTAAAGAGGGAAGGTATTGGACCTTGGCTAACAAGTAGCACTGGGTTAGTTTCTTTCCAAGCAAGATTTGTGCCCATCAGTCTCCAAAATTAAGAGAGTTAGAAATGCAAAGAACAAAAACGTGCATTGCCACACACACAGCAGAAAATTCTACATGGAAGAAACAAAAGAGCTGAGAACATGGCCATTCCCCCCACTTTTGATGGAGAGGACAGTGACTACATGCTTTTCCTGCCTTCTGAGCATATTAAACTTCAGCTTCGTCATCACTTTAAGCATTCTGTCTTTAATTTCCCATTTGTTTTTGTTTCCTTTAGAAGTAATTAGGAGCTGAGAGTTGAAGGTTTGTCATCTCAAAATCCCACGGAGATGGCTGGCTTTTAAAGGCTGCGTAGGTGTCAGTGCCACTCCGGTCCAGCTCCCACTTCTGATTTCAGCATACTCTAAATGAGCAGCAGCCTGTAAATTCAGTAGGCTTCTGAATACAGATGAAGTGATGTAGATGTGATGTTTTTGTCTTCTGACCTCTGTCTGGACTTTTGTTAATGAAAGCACTCCTTACTCTCCAATATGTTTTAAAAGACATATGCTAGTATTCCTTGAACGTAAGACTAACCTAGAGTACTCACTGCTGTTCTGAGCAGATGTAATCGTAATACATAGCATCTTATAGGAACGGGCTTTAAAGAGAGACTTTTTATTCACCTTTCAGATCAATCAGTTCCAGCGACTGGAACAGGAGATCACAAAGCCTGTGGAGAACGACATTTCGAAATGGAAGCCACCTCAGGCCCTCCAGACTGCCAACAGCACTATTGCCTCCCACGACAGACAACCGCTTTTGTTCTATTCTGACCAATACGAAACTCATTTCAATTCCCTCCTGAACACCATCGATGCCTTTTTCAGTTGTGTCAGTGCTTCACAGCCCCCCCGGATCTTCGTTGCTCACAGCAAACTTGTCATTTTGAGTGCTCACAAACTGGTGTTCATCGGGGACACGCTCACGAGGCAGCTGACATCCCAGGACATACGCAACAAGGTGCGCAACTCCAGCGACCAGCTGTGCGAACTGCTGAAGAGCATCGTGATGGCTACCAAGATGGCAGCCTTGCATTACCCACACACAGCAGCACTGCAGGAGATGGTGAACCGAGTGACAGAGCTGTCCTACCACGCACAGCTGTTCAAACTCTCGCTCATCCAGATGGCATCTTTATGAAACACAGCAGAACCCAACCCGTGAACGGCGAAATATCAAAGAAACTGGAGTGGTTTTATGTGAACATCACCCTTTATGGTGTGTAGATATTTTATATGAAATGCTTTAAATACGTTCTTATGAGTTAGAGAATCTAACGAAATCAGGGATCTGGGAAAATATCTGGCTCTGTATTATGTTCCTACTATACAGTTAGTCCTGTATACCCTCCATATATGTATATGTTGCTACACTCTTTAAAACATCATTAAGCACCTTAAAAAGTATGCGTCGGGTAAGCAGTGCATATCTTTTGTATATACTGCTATTTCTTCAGTATATTTAACTGGATGCTGCACTCATCTTGATTCATTCCATCTTAATTTTGGCACATGGACTCGGTTGTGAAACCTGCTTGTAGCAATCCATGAATCATAATGGTTCTCATAGAACCCCTTTCCCTTGTTAGAAATTACTAGGTTAATTTCATTAACTCTTCATGCTGTTATTTTGTTATATATAGAGGATACATTCATTCTGAGTAGCATACATGTACAGCTGCTGCAAGCAACAGTCAAAGCATATGGTATTTGGGAGAAAAGCATTTTAAGGCCATACAAGGCCATGTAAGAAGCAGAACCTTCTAAAAAGGAAGGAATTGTATATTTTTGTTATCTCATGGCATTTAAACTTTGCTGTTTCTAATAATCGTAAAGATAAGTTTTCAAAACTCCAAGTCTTAGCAACATGAATTTACATGTTTACCTTGTATATCCTTGCATTGGCAATTAAATGTAGCCATTGTGCTCACTGTGGACTCAGTTATCCTGAGAAAATTATTTGGGCTCATCTTTGAGGTGGCAGATGTGTAACATCTTAAAATACCAATCCCTCCAAAAGCACTGAATAAGGATCATCATTCATATGGGAAGAAAATAACTGAATTTGAAATATTAGATAATTAAACATCTGTATAGAGCATACTGAGTTTAACGAAGGAAAAAAAGTGCAGTTTCTAAGATATTCCTGGTAATTAATTGCAACCACCGCAAATTTGTCTTCTATTCAAGTACTGGGCTTTTTTTCCCCAAAAAACTTGTTCCAGAGCTACTGATCCTTCTGCACTACATTGTTGCCAGAGATGACCTCCTGTCTTAATGAGGTCACTCCATCAGTAGGGTACACAATCCCAACCTGTAACTTTTAACTTGGACCCATAAAAAACTATACAGAGTTGCAGGCTCTTTTACAAATTCTCTATATGCTGAGTGCTCCAAAACATGCATCAGCCTGTTTTTCTTGCTTTCCTTTTTGAATTCCCTAAAATTAAGTCCTGGAACACCAACTGTCCATGGTCTCAAACTAGAAGACTAGCTTAGATCACTGGAAATCACCTTGGAAGGAGAAATACAACTGGCTTCTGATAAGTCAGGGTAGTCCTGCATTGATACATTCGGACTGCACAAGAGCACCAAGAGAACAGGCACTTCTAACTTTGTAAGCTTCCTTGATCACATCTAAACACGTGCCTTACTGCAGTGGGATTTGTTGCCTTGAAACAAAACCATTCCAGCAGTGTGTGATATTTTACTGCCTTAATACGTCACCTCAGAGAGAAGACTGGTCTTAGCTGCCATCCCATCGCTTCCCAAGTCTGCAGAAGGTCCCCAGCAAGGCCTGGAGATAGGAGGTAGTGCAACTGCAGCAGCACCAAAGTCAGCCCTAGTGCCACACACTGGCTGTCTTACTGTAACCAACAGCCAACTGCCAAAAACCTGAACCTACTTTGTACTTTTGCTGTTTGGGATTGCTTTGGTTTTCCTTGTTCATTTTTTCATTGTATATTCTTAGAAACTGAGAAGGCGTTTTGAAGCTTACCTGTTGTGTCAGTAGTTTGTGCTTTCAAAAAGAGAACATTAATCATAAGCCCATAGTACAGTTTGTTATTTCGTAGAGTCATTTTAAAATCATTACATGTCTAGGTTGGTTGGTTGTTGTTTTGTTTTTTTTTTAAAATAAAAAAGCCAACATTTGGTCTTACTTTTTCTTGCTTTTACTTCTAACGTGTGCTGAGTTGAGCACACGAGGCTCCAGACAGCACCTGAAACAACCACACGGCTCTAAGGATGATGATCTTTTCCAAACCTTATTTCCCCGTTTCCCTGTTGTTGAGGCAGTCCTCCTGTCAAACACCATAGATGTGCGAGGAACAGCAATGAAGCTAGTGAGTGGCTGGAGTTGGCTGCATGCTTGTGGCAAAAAGTTCTTGCTGGGAAAGTACCCATGAAAGCCTTGGGATTGAAGCTCTGGTGTGGCTCCTGTCCTTGAAAAGGGTCAGCCAAGAAGCAGGGAGGTGCTGCCTTGGAGTACTGCTTTGTTCTGCTAAATTTAAAAAAACTAACAATAAAGGGGGAATTAGGCAGATCCTTTTCTCTTTCTCTCCTTGCTGAGCCACGATATCCCTGGGCTGTTGCTAATGAACTGCTGCTGTTTGGCAGCCAAGTGATGGCCCATGTGAAGGAGCTATCTGAGGGAGAAAGGTCACTCTTGAAAGCAGATTTTAAGGAAACTTTCTGGTCCATCATAACAATATCTACATTTCATCAGAGCCCAGAAGAACTACTTCACTGCACCTCATCCTGCACAACGCCCTGCTGCTGCCTCTGGGATTTCTCACTGCACAGCTGCTACATTTGTGCCTGCATTGCATGGCTGCAACTTTAGCAAATCCACTGCCTGCCATTCTAGCAAAGGAAACACAGGAGATATGAGTCAAGCTCTCAGACCATCACCAAATCACACCCCAGCATCTTCACACCCAAGAGCATTCTCTGATCAGTTCATCTGAGATACATTCATCCCTCCTACATCTCCTACCAGCACACTTCAGAGCATTCCTGCACCAGAAGCACCATCTTTCTGCTTATGGCCAAGCCTCTGCAAATGCTCTGTGCCTGTAACACTATAACGTGATAGAAAGTACAGTGATAACAGTGGGGTGGCAGTCTGTAGTTGCAACAAACGAGGATGAGCCCAAGCACAGCAGCCACGGATACAGAAACAAATGAAGGAATTTTCTTACCTTTGAAAGGTACTCCAGCAGGCAGGGATCTCCAGATGAGATACCCTCACCACCACTGCCAACCCTTAAATGAGATCTGAGAAGGGGTGGAGCAGGATCTTGTTTACTCAGGTGCATTGCTTGCACCTGAGCTCCACTGGGTTAACCCTGCCTTCCCCACCTGGTGTTCTATCACTGATTCAAACTGTGATTTAGTGTTCTCACTACAGTACCAGAGCCCATTCTGCCTCCAGGGGAGATTTAGACAGGATATAAGTGTTTTTTTGTTTGTTTGTTTGTTTTTACAGTAAGGGTTGTGAGGTGCTGGAACAAGTTATCCAGAGAGATGGTGAAAAATCCTATCCCTGCAGATATCCAAGGCCAGGATGGATGGGCTCTGAGCAACCTGACGTGGCTGTAGTTCATAGAATGGCCTGGGTTGGAAAGGATCATCTAGTTTCAAGCCCCCTGCTACGTGCAGGGTCACCAACCACCAGACCAGACTGCACAGAGGGCTCTGGGCAGTTGTCCTGTTGTCCTCTGGGTAGCTGTCCTGTTCATTGCAGGGAAGTGGGACTAGATGACCTTTAAGGATCCCTTCCAACTCAAAAAATTCTCTGATCCGAAAATTTTCTCTGCTGAACCTCACTTTCAGGCTGCCTACTCTATCTTAACCAGCACAGCTTGCTTGCTTTCCTCTGTCCCCTTGCATTCCTCCAAGCAAAGTCCACCTAGCCAGCATTACCTTTAGAAGTGTGTTCCTTCTGTTGCTGCCTCCATGATTTCCCAGAGGGCACAGCCCAGCAACTGGAGAGCCCATGCACAAGGAACACTGCTGCACCTGCTGCAAATCCAGCACATGTACCATCTCCCTGCCACAGGTTTCTGAGCTCAAAAAGGGACCCTATTTCTTTCCCTGCAAGCAGCAACTTGATACGTAGAACTACCTGCAGCAAGCACAGAACAAGGGAAGACAACATGTCAGGAGATACACAAACCTCAGCCTATCTGAGGCACTGCAATTTCTCTTAGTAACAAGCAATGTGACTGGAGCTGTTTCTTTAACGCAGGAGCACAAAGGCAAGCAGCCATTCACAGCTCCCTGCTCAGCTGACTTTGCCTTGTTCAGTCCCACAGGCAGCACTGCCTGAACCACTTGGGATTGGGAAGGCACACAAACAATGCCCCAGAAGCACCCAGTATTTATGCAAGGCCTGAAACAACAAACAAAAACGTGCAAGAGATGGGATGAGGAGGAGAGGGGAAGAGAGCAGGAGCCTGCTCTGATTCTAGAGTGTCTCACAGAATGGAATTGCAATACACAATAAAACTTTTTGTACAGGTAGAAGGCTCTGGGGCACACCCCCATGCAGTGCCTCTAGCTGGCTTTATTGCCAGAGAGCTCAAAGATGAAAAGGCACAAGAGTGAGCAGCCATGAATAAGAAAAATGAACTTGTGCTGTTTTTCCACCCTGCGCTTTGATTTTAGGAAGGATGGTAGGAGCAGCCCACATAAAAGCCTTTTATCTCAGGGGGTGGAAACTGGTACCTGTAATTAACCTGCATTCCAGAAAGGGAGAATCCACTTTGCTTTTATCGTGCTGTATGTCAAAGTTAATTTTTGATAAGGAACAAGCACACGTGCACCACAGTGCTTCACCTGCAGCTATTGTCACTGCTCACAATACACAGATCTACCTAAGGGATGAGCACAGACTCACTGGCAGCTGGCATCACTTTTGTAGGAATTGCTGTAGTGAGTCCCAGACCTGTGAACACAGCCCTGCTGTGATCCATTAATGAGATAAGCACCCCCATCTCTCCCCCAGGTGCTGGTACCAGGCTGTCCACCAGGTCCCATTGCCAAAACCTTTGCACAATTACTTACAATAAGCTGCTCGAGGCTATTTCTCAGTGTAAACATTACATTTGGTAGAGGGGATTTGTTATTACTCCTGTCTAACAAATGAAGGGTGCAAAGGGAATACAGGTTGCTCCAAACTCTTTGCAAGAAAACATTCCCTGCTTCATCCCTAGCCTGAACCAATAGGATGACTCATCAGCCAGCACAGCTCCCACCACATCTTTATCTCACCACTCTTCTCAAGGACTCCTGTCTTCAATGCAAACAGAACGTGACAAGGCTCTCCCCCCAAGCCTAATATTAAAATCCTCCCTGCAAGGTTAGCATTAAGTGAGTTAATCATGAGCTTTTGTTTTACAGCTGGAGAGCAGCTGCTCAGTAATAAGGAGGATTTAGGGCAGACCTGGTGGGCCAGCATTCCACCTCGCAGTGAAACTGCGAGCAGTGGGAGAGATACAACTGTGGGCTGTGTCTGAAGGGACTTGGATAGCAGAAAGCTTGGTCCTACAATTAGGCCAGAAAATTAAAAAAAAAAAAAAAACAGAAACAAAAAACAGAACAAGCTCATTCCTTCAAGCCGGTCTTTACAATGCAACACATTGCTCATAACCTTGAGAGGTAAAGAAGTTATGCTTCTATTTATAGAGAATGGTAAGAAAAGCAGACACCTCTGGGTACTTTGATATCTCTCTGTTTGAGGCAGATATCATTTTTAAAGTCACCTTCCTTGACAAATCAAAACACAGCATTTGTCCTCTCCCACAAAGCATGATCCTCCCTAGGCTTGGGGCTCTGCATGTGGCTTTTTTGGCACCAAGTATGCAACCAAATCAGAACGGTCACTCCCTCATCCTTCCCAGCCAAGATACAACAAGATTGCTAAAAGCAGGGACAGCAAATGAAGAGGAACACAACTGCATTGGCCCCACTGGACACACACAATAGTTCTCCTGCAATGTGACCACTACAGCAAAGCTTGAAGGCCCATGCCATCTAGTGGTGAAAATTTGGGCCCAGAGCTTCCTTTCCATCCAACTTTAATCACAAAATCTGCCAGGCTTTTGAACAAGAATCTGTCCTGCAACCAATTCACTTGTCTGAGAAGCCCACCCAGGGATGAGCTCTGATATCCACACCGTTACTGCGGTATTTAGGGGAAATACAAGTACACCCTGGAACCAGAGACAAGGAAAAGCAAAATCAAGTCTGCTCTCTATATCGAATCCTTTGGGAACTATAAGAACAAATGTTGCAATGAACGTCATCGCTAGTAATTAAATGCTGCAACTGTTAAATAAACCTAACAGCTATCAAACCACAGCTCCCTGATACAGGACATGTCCTCTGCCCCTTCTGTTCAAGGACACTGCCAGAGCTCTGGTGGCAACACGCAGAAGCCATGCTAGGAGAGATGGTGCATCACAAGCAGCATAGATGGACAGTGCTCTGACAACAACCCCAAAGCAAGATGATTGGTCTCATTCCCCTCTAGATAATCGGGTCTCTACACTAAGAGAAAGGAGTACTTGTTATCCATTTTCCACTTTGAAAGCAGAAGAGCCTTGTGAACAGAGATGAAAGAGAATAAAAGCTAAGATGTCAAACACAACGTCCCCATTTCTAAAAAAGACAAAACCAAAGCACAGACCCACTGGATGTTTGTCTTCTGAATGGTTTGAGTTCTACTGGTGAAAGAGAACCTTCAGATCCCTTATGTGGGGCTTTGCCTCTCATCCCCAGTCTGTATGTACAGTCAGAATTGTCACATCCCAGGTGCAGTTTAACTGCATCTTAAATTTCATGCAGTTGTTAACTTCCCAGATCTACAATTTGTCAAGACTCATCGCAGGGCCCTTCTATTTAATCTCTGCTTTCCTAGCTGTTTAAAGCTTAAAGCTGTTGTTTAAAGAAGCTTGACTTTCTGCCATTGATCCATGATGGTGCTTTTCCATCTACAGATCCTTCTAGCAATTCCTTTTGCCTGAAGGGCAAGACTAGCACTGCTACTTGTCAATGTAAACCCTAGACTAGATCTAAGCCCTACTTTTCCTCTTCACAGTCTACATACAGACTGTCCATTCCACTCAAAATTTTTAATCATAAAATGAAATCTACAATCATATTTCATTTTGTGATTAAAAATACCAGAGATAATATACTCACAACATGGAGACTTTCAAGGCCAGGCTGGATCAGGCCCTGGGCAACCTAATCTAGATGTGGATGCCCCAGTTCATTGCAGGGGAGTTGGACTAAATTATCTTTAAAGATCCACTCCAACTCTAAGGATGCTACAATTCTAACGTAAGAGCTTCTGATTCATGAGGAATACACTAAAACACATGTCTTTAAGGATTAATATAAAACACAGCATATTTATGCAACACTTTTCTAGTCTAATCCTAGGTCAAAATGTTCATACGTAACCTAAGCAAGATAAAGCACAGCCTGTTTTACAGAGACTACCTGTATTCATCGTATAGGATAAGACCCACACGAAAATCTCAAGGAGAGCACACCAGTACCTGTGGGGAAAGACAGCCTACTGTGGAATTCAGGGCAGAGATGCACAGCAGCAGATGATCCATCCTACTGGAAAAGACCACACCATGCTTCCTTGCAATCAGCATCCACTAAATCACCTGCTTGCTTTTCTGCAACCATCTGATACCAGTAATCAATCACTGAATACTCCCACTTACATATAACCATCCTCCAAACACACACTCTAAAAAGATACATACTAACCTGGTTTTCATCATGAAGTCACTGTAGGAGCCACACCAGTTGGAATCCAGCTTTTAACTAGTCTTCTTCTGTAGTGTTGTACCATCTAAAGAAAAACTGCTATTAAAAAAAAAAAGGCAGAAAGTCACTCTGATCAAGTACTCTTATCAAGTCTGGTTACTTTATTTAATTATTTTTAATCTGCACAGTCACTTAAAACAGTTAACATGATGAAAACAGACAATCACAGAAGCTTTAGATACAGTATCTTAACATTGAAGAAGCAAATGACCACATAGAACCCTTTTTTAATGCTGGTCATTTCCCAACAAGACAGGAGTACATACAGAGGTCTAGTTCAGTGTAAAACCTGATGTTAAGCAGCAAGTTGCCCACAAGTTGCTGGACAGTATATGGTGTTTACTGCAGATAGCTACAGCAGCAGTGCTAAGTGGATGAACTGCACAGAATTAGCCTTATGAACAAACATTAGATCACCATGATAACAGCCTTAGTGGCTTGCTAACAGGTTTGAATTATGCAATTCAGTAAGAAACAATTGTCTACATTCTTATGTTTTAACAATACTTTTCCTACTTTGTTCCACCAGTCCAAGCTGCATTTGTTCCAGTCTTCCTGATATTAACTGTTTAATTAACTGCCACATACAAGTAATCACTGCTTATTCACAA